AATCAAAAAAGAAAGATATAAAAAGAGAATAGGAAGAGAAGGTAGGGGAATAAGAAGATAAAAGAGATGAATAAGAAAGAGAAGAAGAAGAGGATAAAGAAGAAGAACAAGTGGAAGAGGACGAAGAATAAGAATGGAGAGAAGAATGGGAAATCACCTTGCAAGTGAGATGGAGAACAAAAGTCAAATGGCGGCGTCAGGTCCGGCACTTGTAGCAACTTCGGCTTCTTCCTGCTTGTGCGAACAGAGGAGAGACCGGAAAAGAGGAGAGGGGCTTTGGCTCCTTTTTCTTGGGCGAACAGAGGGGAGACAGCCGAGAGAGGGGGCTGCTCAGGTGCCTTGCGAACCGAGAGAGGGAGCGGGAGAGGTTGGGGGTCTCAGTCAGGGCTGTGCGAACAGCAGCGACGAAAGAGTGAGGGATATGGGTTTCTGCTTGGAGCTCCTATACCAACCGGACGAGAGAGAGCGAGCCAAATCCCAAGAGTCGGGCTCTCTGAATGCCTTTCCGTCGTGCCTCTTATGGCAAAGCAGGCTTCGGATAGATGGAAAGCACGCCAAAACCAAAAGTGGAAGCCCACCATTTCGCCGCCTCTAGCTTCAGCCGCTCGAACACATGCGAATGGAAACTGCTCTACTGTCGAAGATCGAGGATATCAGGGAAAGGAGCTGTGCCGACTGTCCATTCAATCGGGACCGCTCGCTTGCATTTCTTGATTTAAGCATCAAATTCAAATTCATCAAAAAGCAAGTTGGAGTTTAAAGCAAAATTAATTTGAGCTGAATCAGGTCAAATTAAAGTCCGAATCAAACTCAATTTGAGTTGAGTTGGGCTCGATCTAATTTAATTAATTTATTTATACAAAATTAATCCTAAAAATAATGTTAATTAAAATCAAATCGGGCCCGACAAGGTCGACATATGTTGATAGAAATTGATCAAGTGCAGTCGAGTCGATCCGAGTCAATTTGAAATCAAATTCTAATGACGCGGATTCGACTTGAATTCGACTCGTCATGGCTCGATCAAGTCGATCAAGCACGACCAAGGGAAAGGCGCAATAAAAACGAGTTCAACAGGGTGAAGGTTAGGCATGGATGTGAGTTGACTTGATGTCAAACTATATAAAAATCTATTATTTTTATTTGTTCTCCAAGTTAGTTTATTCTTGAAAATTTACTTAGTTTATTGCTTGTGCTTGAATGTCTTTTAGCGAATCATAAATTTCAAATTCTTGTGCTCTTGTTTAGCATATATCATTTACATTGTTCTTATAAATCCAACACTTATATTAGCAACAAATCATTGTGTTCGCCATTACGTATTAAGTTTGGACACTTGTGTGATTTTGGTGTTTGGTAATATAATTAATTAATTATAGCTTGTGTAGTTGAGTTTAATAATTTTTATTATGTGCGCTAGTTGGAACACTCAATCAATGACATCATCATTTAATCAATACAATTTTTTACCTATGTAGCGCCACACTTGCGAATTGATATAATTTATTAAAATTTTGTCATAGTGAGATAAAGGCTTATTGTTGTTGTTGTTGTCTGTCATAGTATCTTTTGTGTAATGTCATTTAAATTTGTTAAATTATTAGATTTCATGTATTAGTTTATTGTACATGTGTTTAGTTGTTAAATTATTAGATTTCATGTATTAGTTTCTAAGTGTTAGAGCTGGGAGAATTTCAAAAGAAGACCCCACCCCCACTTCCCTCAAGGTGTGCCTTTAAACTATCAAAACCCCATTTACTAATGTATTACCTTATTGCACCCATATTCATTATAGAAGAAAATCCAAAACAAGAGAAATTTTTTTAGATAAATTGTCTTACTATATCTAGCTTAATAGTGAAATCACACCATGCAATTAGAGAAGGATGTTCAGTCAAACTGTAATATGCAGTAGATCAGAATGTTCTTAAAAAAATTTAACCGTCAATATAAATCCATTATCTTCGATATAGTATACAACAAAAACTACAAGAATCAGTGGTTCACTATAAGATGGTTGAGGGGAGCACTTGCAACTTTTAGATATGGAGTAAATTCCTCAATATTTTATATTACGTTAAAAATTCAACCATTCTAAATTTAAATGCATAATTATAATTTGATACAATTATATTTTAAGATTAATTATGAATCATGTATTTTGTTATTAATATTAATCTATTTATCATATTTAATTATATATAAACATCATAATTATATTAATCTATTCAAATATCTAGTTTTCATTTTCTATTTATTTAAGATGAAATTACTAGAGTTTAAAAAAAAACTCCTGAAACCCTGTCGCCCCAAATTCCTAAACCGGTGTTGGAACTAAAGGGAAGCCAAGGGGGCCCTCGACACCCCTAGATTTGAAGTAAATCTCTTAATATTATATATTACATTGAAAATTTTATCACCCCAAACTTATATGCATAAATATAAATTAACATTAATTATAAATTTAGACTAATTATCAATCATTTTTCTCTTAATATTAATCTATTTATCATGCTTTAATTATATAAAAATATCATAATAATATTAATTTATTCAAATATATATTTCTATTTTTATTTATTAATGATAAAAATTTAAGAAGTAATTAAAGTAAAAAGGAAAACCTTTTGAAACCCATCCACCCTAAAATTCTTGAAACCCTCTCCCCTCTTCCATCCCCAAATTTCTAATTCCATTGTGTTCTCCCCTTTTGCACTTAAATTCCCAAAATTGTTATCTTTTTTCTCATTCCACCCACCAAATTCTCATAACCCTCATTTTCTTCCCTACATTTAAAAATACAATTGGAGTACTTTGAAATTGAAGAAATTGAAGGTCATCAAAATAAAAAATTTTAGAATCTTTCCACAATTTTATATCTATATAAAATGTCAGCAAAAAGGAGAAAATTGATTATATATCCTCATCTTGAGAAGATTTGGTTAGTCTTAAGTATTTCTATTTTGACTGTAACAACTAAACTTGCATTTTTAGCAATGAACATTGATAATATAATGCTGCTACAATAACATCAAGCCTTTATCCCACTACATGGGGTCGGCTACATAAATCCTTTTTCTCCATTGTGTCCTATTAAAACTCAAATTCTCATTTAAATCTAATAAAGAAAGGTCATTCCTAATATTTACTAACCAAGTCTTTTTAGGTCTACCTTCTGAGTCATTCCAAAAATTTAATTTAGAACTCATATCCAAACCTATTTGAGGAGCATAAGCACTTATAATATTAATAATCTTATCATCAACAACAATCTTTAAAGCTATAATTCTATCTTCAATCCTATTAACTTTTATAACATTATCCTTTAAACTCTTATCTATAATAACACCAACACCATTTCTAGTACGACTCCTACCCGAATACCAAAGTTTAAATCATAAACTATCAATTTCTTTAGCCTTCTCTCCAACCCATTTAGTTTCCTGAATGCACAAAATATTTAACTTCCTATGAATCATAATATCTATTAATTCCATTAATTTTCCTGTAAGGGAACCTATATTCCAAGTTCCTATCCTAATTTTAGTTTTATGGACTAGCTTCTTTGCCCACATCCGTCTTTGATGTGGGAACCCTTACCTATTTAACACTACACCCGGGCGCCGGTGCAGCGACCCTTGCACACTTGTCACTGTATTCAGGACATACATTGCGTCGCTTCCAGGAGACGCCCTAGCATTAACACAATTTCTTAAAAGATTAATGTTATAAATAAGATAAAAGATGATTTCTTGGATTTTTATTGATAAAATTTATCGAGAAGGATATTACTATGAGTTTGGTGATAAAATTAATTGATGATGATTTTGAAACAGTGGAGAAGCATCAGTCACAATTTAGGATGCCTAATCAAAATAATTAGATTGGAAGAAAGAAATTTTTTTTATTTGGTTTTTTTTGTCTATTTATGTTAGTTTAGAAAGTTGATTTATTTTAGAAGGTTTTGGTTTTGCCACTCCCATTTTAAATCTTGGTTCCACCACTGAAAAAAACTAAGGTTCTCATCCTAAAACTTTTTTTCCACAAACAACTATTTCGAAATTACACCTTTTGGATCAAAAAGCAATTGTTTTAAGACTCAACATATGTTCAAGAGAATCAAGTCGATTAGATAGAACAATTAAATTTGCTACATACATGTCATTTTCGAACACATTCATAGAATAAAAGGTGGTGCATAATCGCATCGTATTACGGCATTAAAATAAACAACAACAAGCCTTTGTCCCACTACGTGGGGTCAACAACACGAATCTTTTTTCTCCAGTGTGTCCTGTTAAAAATCAAATTCTCATTTAAATCTAATAAAGAAAGATCATTTCTAATATTTTCTAACCAAGACTTTTTAAGTCTACCTCTACCTTTCTTAACATAAGTCAAATATAATACATCAACTTTTCTAACCGGGTCATCGGAAGGCCTCCGTTTAAAACATTATTTAAATCATTATTGAAACTGCCATATAAACCCAGCATCATTTAACGTCCTATTCCAACTAATCTTATTTAATGTAAGCATAAGATGTCCAATTCCAAGTGACTCCTATTCCCAGTTCTCAGACAGATAAAAAACAAAACAATAATAAAAGAAGAACAGAAGAACGATTAACACAATTTGAGCAGTTTAGCTACAGGTACGTTTTAGAAAATGTAGTTCACTTTGAGAAGATTAAAAGCTTAAAACTATTTGGTAACAACGGTTAGATCTTATTAAATTTTAATTAAAATTTGTTTCAGAATTTGAGATTTAAGAGAAAAAGAAACTCCTAAATCTATTAAACCCTGTAAATAATGGATTTAACATATTCTGTATTTGATAAAAAATGAAGGCTGAACAAATTTACCATAACAATAGGTTATATTCAAGATTCCATTTGGCGGGACTTGAGCAAAATCTGCTTAAAACGGGCCTAACATAGTATACAAAATAGAAGAAAAAAAAAATTTTGAAGTAAAGAATAGAGAGGGGGAAAAACTTACATTAGCTTAATCAGACGATTGGCTTCCTTCAATCACCTTCACGTCCTCCTCCACATCGACGACATCCACCTCCTTAGAATCATCAAGAGTGGCGGTGGCAGCGGCGTCGGCGTCGTCAGGGTCAGCGGCGGGATCGGAGCGGGCGATGGAGGATCGGAGGCGGTCGAGCCAAGGCTTGAAGGCCGTTTCCATCGTCACCCATGCCAGGGCCAGGCCACCGGCGACAACCAGCGCAGACTTCAGGGCACCTTTCTCTCGTTCCCTTCCGCCCATTGCGCTCTTTCTATCACCTCTCAGGAGTCGGGTGTAGTCAAAACGAGCTAAACCTGGTTAATAGTTTAATTAGTAACTAAACTAATGTATCTCAGATCATATTTTACTTGCTCAGCAAGTTTTCTATAAATTCAGATTTTATAAATTTAAAAAAGATTTCTTGGCTGTCAGAATTGAAATGAAACAAGATTATGATAGTATGAATTAATCTAATTTAAGTTAACCTTAAGTCAAGTCTTGGAGTATCTCATATTTCCAATAAGACTTTCTAATCTTATAATAAAGCGCGTTGTGGATTTTAGGTTCTCTATCATAGTTATTGGCATTAATTCTAATTGGATTGAAGCGAAGAGCCAATTTACACAAGGTTATTCATTACCTCCTTATTTGTTTATATTGTGCTCACAACTATTGTCAAATGCTTGTTTTCAAAGAGGTGGATATCTCATTTGCTTTATGCATATGACATTCAGTTATTGTCTAAAGCTAATAAAAGAAGTATAAATATGGTGAAGAAAATTATTAAAGATGGATAAAAGCTAAATATGGATAAATCCATTATTCTATTTAGCAAGTCAATTAAGAAGAATAAAAAATTATTTTCTCGACTTCTGGGATTCAAGCGTGTAATTGAATTGAATTATCTTGGTGTCAAGGTTGCTTTGGAAGGCTAACCATTTCAAATTTTCAAGAAATGATGGAGAAGACATTGAATAAAATGGATATGTAGGGAAACATATTTATTTCTTTAGCTGGAAAATTTGTGCTTATCAAAGCGACTTTTTTGTCTCTTCATATCTTTGTATGTACTCATTCATTTGTTCCTATGGGACTATTGAATGATTTTGATAAAATGTGCATGAACTTATTTGGCACAAGAAAAATGGGAAACAAGGTATTCATTAAGTATCATAGAAGGTTATTTGTAAAGAAAGGAATAGGGGAGGCCATTGAATTCATTCAGCTGTATCTTTAATTGGATCTTTACGTGCAAGATTTGCAAGGAATTTTATTGATAAACTAGATTCTTTGCTCAATAAAAATCTAATTGCTAAATATGGGAAAGATATTTGAAATTCTGATATGAAGAAAGGATGCTCTTCTACATGGAAAGTTATTCTACATGGTGCAATGTTTCTTGAACCAATTGTAAGGTATAAAGTTGCTACATGTATATCTATTAAAATCTTTAGAAATGTATGGATTCTTAATAGAAGGATTAATCATTGGCCTACATTTGTCACTAAAATTTAAGATGTTGATATCACATTGTATAAACTGATTTTGAATGGACATTAGGATGTGATAGAGTTGAATAAATTATTTGGTGAAGAGTTGGTCAAGCTTAGACAAGAAATTAAAAATTTTCATGCTTTATTATCTGATCAGACTGAGCTCAAAGAAAAGATATCTAGTAAATATGTAGCTGCATTAGCTTTCCAAGCCTAGTTGGAATAGGAGGTGGAAGACTACTCATGGAATCGTATAAAGAAAACTAAGTTGAAACTGAAAGTGGATCTACTATGGTGGAGGTTATTAAAGATGCCATTCAAACTAATGATTTCCTTATGTGTAGAAGATTATATAATAATAATTCCTATCTAAGATGATTCCATTCATTGGAAACAATGGGTTTCATAGTTGTTAAATGCAGCAAGTTTATATTATTACGACTCGAGCTCATGAGTTTTATATTTTTGATGATAACAAAAATCTTTATATCGCATAGTATTTTTCTTTCTATATTTGTTTGTGTGTATACTAATATTTCATGAATATCATGCAACATCAAATAAAGAATCAGAGCTCA